GTATAGTTGTAGCACGAATGGATTGACTCGGCCGGGGAAGGACCACGCTTTCACAGATTACCAGCGTTAAATAGCAGCTTACTGCTGATGTGTTTCGTATGGTGAGTGTATAGAACCGGAGACCCTTTTTACTGGAACAGAGACATTCTATCTGAGTCCTCACGGCTGACAAAGCATCTGTATTTTAATTCGCAAACTATGATAGATGTAGATATCTATGGGCCACAACAACCACTTACCATCAGGTGGACTAAGTGCTCGTTTGTCACCCTTATTTTATAAAAAAAAAGTTTTAAAGTAACCGAACCATCCATTACAACCTATGAAAATCCGCTGCTGAACATAGGCCTACTCCATGGATTTCTTCGTAGCATTTTACCATCGTTGCCACGCTTGGCAAGCGGGTTGGCATCCAAAGATTTTATTATTTTGAGTTGTTATCAGGAAGATTCTGCTGCATATCTACTGCTTCAGTTTTCCTCTATCGCCTCTGACGCCACCCACGGGACGATATAGGGTAGTGGATATTCTTGCACCGCCACTACACGTTTAGTTTTAAAGTAATATAAACGAAAAATGTAACAAAATATTCACAGTAATCTATACACAGCTTAAAATAATTTAGACGGCTTTTAGTTTTTACTACTTTTCAATATTCTTTGTAACACTTAGGCCTGAACATAATACCTAACTATAAATTGATACACGATAAGATTTCTACACTTTACCCTTATTAAACTTGTTGCTTATGATTCCGAATTTTAAGCACTATTTTTTTATATTTTTTTACATAAAACTAAGTAAATTTTCCAAAGGTAAAATTTAAAGGAGCTCATTATATCTTACTTCTTTTTCTTCATCATCACCCTGTAAAAGTTTACTGCTGAAAATATGTTTCTCCCGTTTTCGGTAGGACTTGCATCATCATCAATCATCACGCTTAACAGGCAGATGGCACTACCAAATATCTCGCATCTTTGACGTCGCCGATCTGGTATAAACGAAATGGTTATACCGTAACCTTTTGAAAACCAAATGATTTTTCTGATAATTCTTATGGTCGCCTCTTCCGAAACCGATGGGATAAAATACAGTGATCATCATTCATCATCATTACAGCCCTTCACAAGTCCACTGCTGAACATAAGCCTCCCCGAAGGAATGCCACAAAGCAAGGTCCTGAGCCACCTGCATCCATCGAATTCCTGCATGTCTTACCTTACTTATATCTAAATTATATAAAAATGCATTTTTCAATTTCACTAATCAATGTCGCTGCGAAAATGTTTTCTTCTTTGGGCACTTTAAAAATTAATTTATTTAAAACACAATATTAAGAAAAGAGCCGACTCCTTTTTAAAAGGCCGGCAACGCATCTGCAATGCCCCATGTTCCCCTGGTGTTGCGGTTGTTCATGGGCGGCGGTAGTCACTTAGCATCAGGGGAGCCGCATGCTCGTTTGCCCCCTCTCATATAAAAAAAAAAACAGTTACCAGTGTACAGATATTAACTAAATTAAGTATTTCTATTCATAAAATTATTTATAATTGAATATAAACTTAAAAAACTAAAATATATTTGGACGAAGTCGCTCCAACACCGACGCGCGTTTAAATTTAAAAAAAAAAGATTTAAGCTTATTATTTGATTTTATCAGCGGATTAGAATGTAGGCTCTTCATTCAAGGGCGTGTAAGCTTATTATTATCTATAAAGTCCAGCCTATATCTTCTTTAATCAGCAGCCTTAATACTTAGTAGTATTGTTCAAATAGGTAGAAATTACGCTACCCATTTGATCTTTGACGCGTGAAGTGTGCTTCAAATATATGTCGCAACGTGCTCAGTTTGAAATCGCACATCGATGAAGCAGCAACAGTTTTGTAAAAATAATTGTGTTTTGTTAAAAACTATTGCTTTTTGTATTATTTACGGCAGGTAACTTATTTTTATTTATTTTTTGAGTCTATCTAATAGAGTAGTAGGTAGGTTTCACGTGCAAAATTAATCATTAAAATGGGACGTTTCGCCATATGGCTATATATATTTATAAGTGGTTAACTCCATTTCAAATACTATTTCGATACATCCTAAAGGACAATAAATTATTGATCTATTAAAAGATCCCTCAAGCATCAAGAACTAAGCAACTAGAATAAAAAAATATCTAAACATATTTTTTTACATTTGGTTGTTTTGTAGGTAGTTCGTAAAAAATCACGCATAAGTAGATGATTATTGGCACAGGCTTAACGTTCTTGAGATGGGTACCCGCGTTATCTTAAGCATGATATTGTACAAAGGTTCTTTGTTTACAATTTAATGATAAGTGCTTACTATAAAAGTAACAGCTTAATTACGTGCCACTGCTGGGCACATGCCTCCCCTCATTTCTGAGAGGGTTTTAAGGCAAGGAAGTGTCCGCCGCGCTGCCCCAATGCGTGTTGGCGAACTTCACATGTCTTCACATAAAAAATAAAACATATTTTTTTTCTTATTCCTCAGACATGCAGGTTTTCCTTCACCGCCGAGCACGGTAAATCAGCACTTAAAATTGCAATTAACAATTACATTGGTGCCGGCGGGGATCCAACCCGGTTTGCTCGCGCACTGTGAAATTTACAGCGAGCGCTAACCATCTGAGCTACTACGGCTCCCCATATTAAGTGCTTACTATATATCTAGTTAAATACTTATTATTTTATGGTGATTGCAGGTCACAATAGAAAATAAGCAGATAAAATATTTTAATGAATATTTGAGAAATTTCGCGAAGAGAATAAAGGTAGTACCTGAAACTGAAAGCCATGAAAGAAAAGTCTAAATTTTTCCTCATTCACTCGTTTTGTTTAAGAAATCCGTGGTCGAAGTTTCAGTTTTTACCTGAAACTTCGACTACGGCTTCTTTAAACAAAACGTACAAAAAAGGATTGTCCAAAGTTCTTCATAAACCTCATTATCTCCAGGAGGTAACAAGGAATCTGAATTTTGACGCATCAAATCCATTCAAACAAGACCAACTTCAAGAGCCCCTTACACAAATAAACGAAAAGTACAAATAGAAATATGCAGATCTTATAAAACTATTTACGAATAAAACTATCCCCGAAATGTACCATCAAGAGTACATACGTTTACCTAACACAGGCAATGTTCATAACACCATCCCTGACAGCGACATTGAAGATGATATTAATTGTTTCTAGTTAAAGAAACCTTAAATTTCATTTTGTGTTATAGTTTTGTTTTTATCAGAAGATAATTTGTTTGTATTATGTTGATTTGAAATTAAAAAAGATTTAAGCTTATTATTTGAATTTTATCAGCGGATTAAAATTCAGGCTCTTCATTCAAGGGCGTGTAAGCTTATTACCTATAAAGTGTAGCCTACATCTTTTTTCTGTTAGTAGTTTATCTAACCTCACATAGAATTCTTACACTCATGATATTTTATATAGGCAGGCTAACACTATGTTGGGTTGGCAAGACTTTTTCGATAGCATATCAAGCACTTAATAAGCACCTACGTAGATTTCGTTCACTTAGTTAGATATATGTTATGTTTGCAAGTTTTTTTTTCTTGCCGTATTAGACACTTTATAGACACTTATGTGGCTTTTTTTTTACTGAATGAGACATTTTTACATGCTATTAGTACGTTTAAATTATGTTTTTAGCAACGTACTAGCATCTTAGAAAATTTTGCCTAACTATATTTCACTAAATATTTTATCTCCGTTACAAAATGGTGTACATATATATAAAATACACGTTAAAATCGAAGAAAATATAATCAGATATTGTGTTTTAATTTTATTAAAACATTTGTAGTAGAAACAAAGTTATGATTAAAAAAATGCTTTGAAATGGCCTCCTGTAAATTTGGTATAGTGGCGCTTTAGAAGTTTTACGTTTCCACTGATGATATATTGCTTTATTGTGATCAGATGAGGTCTATAACAGATGAAACTCAAAAAAAAAATAGTAAGCTGCAGACCAATACGTATTCAGAGAAACAAACGATGGCAATTAATTAGTACTCGTATACAGTCATGTTTGCGCACGTGCACGTAAACTACATCTTGAAATGTTTATTGTCTATTCCAACAACGAAGCTCCATATTAAGCAAACAGAGTGTAACTTGCAAACAGAATGTATGCACGCTTACTGTTATTTGGCACACTATCATATTCTGCTTTTTAGTTAATTTAAAATAAATAAATTATATAGAACCTATCGAATGATGTTACAAAAAAATTAAATTTATAATCTGTCAAATAGGCACGGTCAGATAGATAGGACAGAGGTTTATTTATGCCCATAACCAAAAAAACTAGCATGATATTTTTTCAAAGCGTCCGCGCGTGCGCACGCGTGCTACTGTGTGTGTGTGTGTGTTTGTGTGTGTATGTGTGTGTGTGTGTGTGTGTGCGTGTGCGTGTTCGTGTGCGTGTGCGTGTGCGTGTGCGTGTGCGTGTGTGTGTGCGTGTGCGTGTGCGTGTGCGTGTGCGTGTGCGTGTGCGTGTGCGTGTGCGTGTGCGTGTGCGTGCGCGCGCGCGCGCGCGTGTGTGTGTGTGTGTGTGCGCGTGTGTGTGTGTGTGACGTTTTTCAAAAATATACCGCGTTGAGAACTTCTTACTTTTTTGAATTCGGTCAAAAAGTACACAAAATGTTGATCCTTTGAGTTTTCAATTTCAAGCTTATAATGTGTTTGGCAGCAATAAAAATGTCTTAAAACTACTTATATATTCGTAATAAACACTCTCTCTGTATTCAAACATAGGATTCTCGTCCTTCAACAAACAGTGATTGCATCTAAGGTTACACACAAATTTTAAGGATGATTTTATATACATATATTCCCTCTTAAGCAAATTTATGAAAATCAGAGTTAAACGAAAAAATTATAGCCAAGATAGACTGGCTCTAATACTAAGATTTTTGGCAACAGGAGATTCATATACAAGCCTTCAATATACCTTCAGAATTTCAAAACAGTCAATGTCTTGTATTGTACCAGAAGTTTGTGAAGCGATTATAGAAGCATTGAAAGAAAACATTAAGGTGAGTTTTACATATTATTATTTATTTATTAAAATAACAAATTAAGGTATTGTATTAAGTAGGGTAAGCAAAATTAAAATTATTCCAAAATTACAGTTAGAAAGTTAAATCAAAATTTCGACATAGTCTGCATCTTCCAAATATGTAGTACAATTTTTTTTCAAATCAGGTCATTCACAAAACCTACATCTTCATATGAAGTTTGGGAGGATTCTGAGGGAACAGGTTAAGCATATGGAGCTGTAGGGTAACTTGTCTGATTCTGACCTGTTGAATACCCTGAAGTATATGGTTCTGAGCGATTAGATAAAGAAGGTGGTTCATTGCAGTATCTTGATGAAGGAACCAAGCCTGTTGTATACCCATTGTAATTGAATTGAGAATTGAATGCCGATGGATTATAATGTTGAGAAAAGTTAGTGCATCCTTCATCGGCTTTGAATATTATGTCCATTATTGCTCGCTGCACGGCATTTTTAGTACTTCTGTTATATTGTTGCATCTTGCTGCATATAAAATTTGAAAAGAAAAGGGTTTCATTGTCAAAATTATTTGGATTATTGTTTCGGGGTTTAGGAGTAGGACTAGAAGCAGCACTCATAAGCAGGCCAAGAGCCTCCGAAAGCATACCCATTTTTTTATTTTCGTCTGATTTTTTTTTTTTGGGGCTGACCAGTTGGTGATATAAATTCTGAACTGTTATCATTTTCTGCACTTGTAGATGCTCTCTGTTCCGGTTCATTTGTAATCTGTAATAAAAAAGAAATTCATTGTTTCAGATGCCAACAACAGAGTCAGAATGGATCCAGATCTCAAACAGATTGGATGAATTGTGGAATTTTCCCTATTGTGCCGGAGCCATGGACGGTAAACATGTCATTCTTGAGGCTCCGGTACATAGTGGCACAGAATATCGTAACTACAAATCGAATTTCAGTATAGTGATGTTTGCTTTAGTAGACGCGGAATATAATTATAAATTTCTGGATGTCGGATGTCAAGGCCGAATTTCAGATGGTGGAATTTTTAAGGAAACTGAATTATATAGAAAACTAGAAAATAATTCGTTAAGATTGCCTGCATCTGAAGCACTGCAAGGTAGAAACAAAGTAGTACCATATGTTTTTGTAGGAGACTCTGCCTTCCCTTTACAAAACAATGTAATGAAACCCTATCCAGGAGAATATCCCAAGGGATCGCCGCGAAGAATTTTTAACTACCGGTTAAGCAGAGCTCGCAGAATTGTAGAAAATGTATTTGGAATTACAGCATCTGTGTTCAGAGTTTTACGAAAACCTATGCTCCTTCAGCCCGAAACCGTGGAGACTATAGTCATGGCTATTGCACACTTGCATAATTTTTTGAGAAACACGGATTCATCTAAAAACTTGTATACACCCCCTGGATCACTTGACAGTGACCAAAACGGAAGATTATGTGAAGGTAGTTGGTGGAGAGATACTGAAATGTCATCTTTACTTCCATTGAATAATGTACCTAGAAGGGCTGCCTTAACAGCAAAACAAATTAGAGATGAGTTTGATGACTATTTTATGAACAAGAGTACAGTTTATTGGCAGAATACATATTGTTAAGTTTTTTATCAAGTCGAAGGAAACTAGTTCAATGCAGTTACCTCTGTGTTGCGTCGTTTCCTTGGATTATTTCGATCTCCTAGAAATGCCAACGCCTTGTAAGCAAACCATGTACTTTTGTACGTTTCATCCCCACCTGTAAAATAAATTACAAGAAATAAAACAACAGTTTTAAAAAAGACAAGGACGGAAGATCATACAATAGAAGTAATAATTGTACTAAGAGCAAGTTAGTGATAATACCTAATAAGTAACAACTAAATTAATAAATAAAAGAAAGTAATATGTAAATCAACATAAATTTATAATAAAACATACCTCTTCCGGAACTATGACTCTTCTTTACTTTTCCTTTTTCTCTTCGATGTGAAGCAAGCAAACTAATCATTTTGTTTTTGCATTCTTCTACATCTCTTTCCAATGAATGAGCAATATTACTCCAAGCATCGTTTTTCAGATTTTTTTTAAAGTAATGCGGGTTTTTTGGATCCCAAATAACAGGGTTTTCTTGATACAAACTAATAAGTTCAAGCAATTGTTCGCCACTCCACATCATGAACGTACACGCGACAGAACCGGCACGAACGCCGTCCAAACGAGGTCTGCGAGCGCCTTTGTGTTCACGAGAAAAACCGACAGCCGATGGATCAACGCCGAGCGCCGCGCGAGCGTTACATGTAATGCTCGTAGTGCCATCCACACGTAGAATTCGTGTTAAATTACACGGTGGATTACATTACATGTTACACTCGTCTGGACCCGGCCTTACGTTCGTGCGTATTGCCAGTGATAACTTAGGGATCTGAGTTGTGGTTGTTTACCGTTGGCCGTATGAGGAAACTCTTAGTTGATTAGCGAGTTAAGGGTTATGCTCAGAGTTTCTCTGCGACAACGGACTGACTTGAAGGTATTCATTGGCAGCCGACAACCGATGGGGGAAAAAAGGTTCTCAAGTGGCAGCGTCGTACTGATAGGTGAGTTGTAGAGCGACCCCCACTAGATGGACTGGCGACCTGGTAAAAAAGAAATATAGGAAGTAAATTGATGTAGGTGGCACATAGCCGTGCTTTGTGTCATTCCTTGTGGGAGGCCTATGTGAACTAGTTGACTTGTTAATGACTGTTGTCACGATTTTAGAATTAGAGCCTATCAAAAGTCCACTATTGAATATAAGTCTCCCTCATAAACTGCCTCATAGATTGCCAGTAGCTGCTACACTTGTCTGACATTTTTTTTTTATTTATTAGTTGTTATTAAGTAGTCGCTACTGTCCATCTCCTGGCTTGTTTCTCTATGTTGATTCTTACGATACACACGGATCGATATAGTGTAGTGTCCATTGTTACACCACCACTACACGGTCATTTTGAAATAAAATAAAATTTTACTTCTTTATAAAATATTATATTGATGTAATTGTGTCAAATATTAACGAATAACTGACGATAATTCTCAAATAACCGGTACCTATGCAATGCCTGTTTTTGCGGTGAAAGTGTATATTATATCACCGTACTTGGCCCCGTGGGTATCGTAAGAGGCGACTACTATAGTAATAAATCTGAGGTTAAGATAAGTGTGTGTAATGCTAGAAAAATGGTATCCGATTGGTGACAATATAATTCCACTTACCCCGAAGGTTAAATATCCAAAAGTTTTCCGACTAAAGAACTCTATAAAAAAAACTGATACATTATCCATAAGTCAATTATACAAATACAAAACGTGCATACTATTCACAAAAATTCTCTCAGATTCCATACACACACAAATTAATTTTAAAACTAAATAACATAAACACTTTACACGAAACAAACATAAACTGCAATTACCAAAAGCTGGGACTAAAAACTATGGTTCGAAAACTATTTTTCAAAATTTAAAAATAAATTAAAAAAGCACTGTCAAACATTAAATTCAAGATAGTGCTTTCTTAATTTGGATGTATTTATGTAACTTTATTCTTACAAGTCACGTATGTAAATGTATTATTTTTACCAATTATGTTATTTTTAAGTCTCATATAAGAAAGTCAACGGATACAGGTGGCTCTGGAGCCTTATTTGTGACATTCCTTAGGGCAGCCGTATTTCCAACAATGGATTCGTGAATGGGCTGTAATGACGATGATGATGATGATAAAAACGTTGTATTCATATTAGTATTATAATATAATTTATAATGTGTTTTGATAGTGTAAGGTGTATTTTTTTGAATCTAACAATGGCACTAACTTAACTAATATTCCCGTTAAGCACTACAGATAAACTTAAAATGCTTTCGTTGGGAAAGGTTCATGGCAGTAGTCAAATAGCGCATTCTAACTCAAGACTTTTTGAGTTAGCGCCCCGTACCACCATTAGACTACTGTATTTCAAAAATAAAGTTGCAAGTATGACTCTTGGCGCCGCTTGCTGTTACAAAATACTATTACAAAAACGTTCATTCTCATCACAATTTCCAAGCAACCTTTTCGGAATCTAATTTGCAGTAAATTTTAAAAATGTTCTTTTTTGTTGGCATTTAATTTGCGTAATGTTTACTTTTCAGTTCAATAAAAAGTTTTAACATAAAAATCGTTTTAATAAAGAACTTTCAATCGATCTTGATCTTATCTGTGCTTATGTGCTGTTTTCGATAGTAATTACAATCCGTCTCGTATGTAGAATTTAAAACTTTCAGCCTCACGAACCGGCTTCTGAAAAGACTTGATATATACCCTTCGACAAATTATTGTACTTGTTGATTTCTTCAAAAAGCTTAGGGTCGCTCATCGAGCTTTGGAAAGGACTATGCTCGGACTTTCTCTGCGTGAAATGAAGATATTTGAAACCCACCTGTATCTTAAAGAACCAACAATCGATGGGAAAGAAATGTCCCCGAGCGGCATCTTCTTACCTCTCAACAGATTGTAAGATGGCCCCTCCGATGTAGTGACGACACAGACATGTAGAAAGTTGACGGAGGATGCATCTGGCGTGCGAACGTATTTTGTTTCAAGACTTGAGGAAGGCCTACGTTGAGTAGATGATTGTTATAGCATATACCATATTAGAAATCAAAAACTTAAGGTTAAAAAAGACAATGTAAATATTTAACCACGACTTAAATAATTCAGTAGAGCTTTTATCAAAAAAAGAAACTTCTTATATCTAGTTCGGCCAACAATTCTGTAATTTATTATACTTGTGTCACAGTATCGCCAGTTTTCATTTTCACACAGAACTTTACGAATTTATATCACAAACACAAAGTCTAGTTAATAATATTTTCTGAATGCCATACTCTGAGATTTCAACATTTTAAAACTCAACATTTTCCAAAACGATAAAAGTTCAATCGATATTTAAGAAACTGAAGATTTTGTGAATTCTAGACTGGGAAGTTGTTAGAATGATCTTAAAGGATTTTGTCATTATAGAGTTCACGTAAACGATAAAACTGTTATTTGCAGAGATTATTCTTGAAGTGCTGTAAGTTTCAGTGTAAGTACTGACAGAGACACCATTTGATCGTATATGCCTCGAATTCGACTTATAAAATAAAATCTTATTGGAATGGATTTCAATGATAATTTTTAAAGACTTTTGTTTTTAGGAAGATTATAGTTTATAATATTTTAGTTTAGTTCAGGCAAGTTAGAACATGTTGTAGAAATTACATATTTTATTTTTAATAAGTTTATTTATCTTATATGTTTATCTCTGTTTGGCCTAATGGTTGACTAATATAGAATGCCCTGATTATGAAAATAACTGAACAGGTCTCCCATTATTTTTGAGAGAGATTAAAGGGCAGATAAATATTTGCCGCGTTGCCCTGATGCATATTGGCGAACTTCACATGTCATCGCAATAATTATGTTTTAATTACTCCGAAATGCAGTTTTTCTCACGATACGTTCGCATTGACTATCAACCACCGAGTATGTGGCAAATCAGCACTTAAAATTGCAATTAACGCCTTAATTTTTACCGCCGGGAATCGAACCCCAGTGTCTCCAGGTCCAGTATGGCCAAGTTGACTATAATAGGCATGACTTGTAAAAATGTATAACAATATTTTAAAAGTGTTTAGTTACAAATAGCCATGTAGTGACGGCGTAAGAGAGGTTTTATATCCCCCCATCACAATTAAATAAAAAAATTGTTAGAATCTTATTGCTTTTTTCTACGTCTTTGTAACTGACTAATACTTCTTATGTAATTGATATGTAATTGACTAATATTTCTTTCATAATTCATTACAACATATCAAAGGACACTGCAGAACATAGTCCTCCGCTATTAATTCTATCATATGGGTATATTATCCGTTATCTATAGTTGCCGAGCTTGTAAGGCGCGCTGTATTAAAAAGATGCTTCTGTCTCCTATTTCATGTCACTTTGTCGCCTCTTACTACACCCACCGGGTGATAAGTTAACCCACGTGCGTGAAGAAACGTAAAAAATCGAAAGTAAACATGTCTGAAAATCAAAAATAGTTATTATAGGAACTATCTTACTGTTTAAAAGTAATGACTAGGTGTACGACAACTTTCCTGCCTAAAAATTCGTCTGAGTTATTCCCAATATCGTGCGTGTACTACTTTCTTCTAGTCTGAAGGGTAAAGAAGGTCATTATAATAACTGCTATGAGGCATTCCATCTTAGTTCACAGATATGACAACATATTTATAGCTTTCTTTGTTTGAATTTGGCTGCAGGTGACCATGGTCTGGAAGCCACTTGCCATCAGATAGATTGTAAGTTTGTTGTCACTGTAGTTGAAAAAAATTATCTCCACAGGCTACTGTAGCCATTAGTCATCACGTGGATGGTGTTTGTTTGTCACTTTAAACTCTGTCAAAAATGAGAAGAGGCTAGTGCCTAACAGTGATACATATCGAGGATGTTACTGTTCATTCAGCTACGGATTCTTACCTTTAGCGACATTCTTTAGTCCAGCTTTGGGTGCTCCTAATTTTATTACGTGGTAGAGCCATGCTGCAGCTATATTACTATTATAGTTGTAGCACGAATGGGTCGGCTCGACCGGGGAAGGACCACGCTCTCACAGAATACCAGCCTAAAATAGCATCATAACGCTGCTGTGTTTCGAATGGTGAGTGTAGAGAACTGGAGACCCTTTTTTACTGGAAACGACGACGAACGAACATTCCAACTTAGTCCTCACGGGTGAAAACGCATCTGCATTTTGATTCGTAACCGAGGATAGATGTAGATGTCTATGGGCCACAGGAACCACTTACCATCAGGTGGACTGTGGGCTCGTTTGTCACCCTAATTGTATTAAAAAAAAGGTTTTCAAAATTGAAGTGATTCGCGTGGTATTTTACACTTTATTCAAAAATATAACAACAATCTGGCATCAGGCGATCACTAAATTAATTATATAACGACGATGTGTATAACTTCGTTATAATATATCAATGCGTAACTTGCTTTATTGTATTCACCAATAGTTAAAATGAGCAGACACTCATTACACAAAATCGCATCACCCTTACGTATCCAAATTTACTTCAAACCATTATTTAAACAATAATACAGGA